AATAATATAATTATAATTATAATATAATAGAAAAATAATCTTAAAATATTATATATTTTTTTTGCAAAAAAAAAAATAATTTTTTACGGGTACGGGTACGGGTACGGGTATACCCGATACTCGACGGGGGTGGGGATGAGGATGAAAATCACATACCCGGCGGGTACAGGTACGGGTACGGGGATGAGTTTGTGTCGCTGGGACGGGGACGAGTATCATAAAACCCGTACCCGACCTGCCCCGTTGCCATCCCTACACACATCCTACAGTAACACAATATATATTACTAAAAATTATTTTTATTCACACAATAAATACAATATATGTTGGTATATTGTTAAAAAATGTATGTATAAACTATAGTGACACACAAAATATGTTGTTAAATTTCATCTAAAATCAATACTAAAATTGTGTGTAGCTATATGTCCAATAAATATATACCTGCATATATTATATCTATAGTGACACTTTTTGTATGCCACCATATGTAAGATTTATTGTAATATATAGAACTCCATTCAATGAGAAAAAGTTATATATTTTTATTAAAATAAAAAATGAACTGAATTAAATTCCTTCACATATTAAATTTTATTTGCATATTATCAAAGTGAGCATTTAATTTGAGAAGTATTTTTTGGGAAATATAATGTATACAATATTTTAAACAAATGTAATTTGTTTTTATAGTATTAGTAAAATAACTTGCGATGATACGGCTATATAACTAACCCGCGTAAGAGTGGGTCCCTTCCACGTTTTAAAATATTTTGGGATCTCTCTGTTTGGCACGAAAAGGGCAACGGTTAAATCATGTACCCTTTAGGTCTCTTAAGCCACTCTCTATTTCTATATTTACATAATATTTTCTCATCATTATTTGCAAATCCATTGCTAGCTAACACCTAAAATTGAGAAAAATTAGAAATCTCATTATGGGATTTGAGACACCATTGGAAGACATTGATTAGTTCAAATTCTAGTTTGAGGGAACAAGTAACTGCTCTACATCATGCCTAAAGGAAAAATAAAATCATGCTAATTATAAAAAGGTTACTTCTTTTATTTTTGCAATTCATAATTATGTTTTTATTATTATTTTAAAATAGGTGTGTTCAGTGATTTAATTTTAAAAATACAAAATTTTTGTCCTCCTGCCAAATTAAAATCTATTAATTTAAATTTTAATATTATTTATACTTAAATATGATGTGGCATTTAATAATATTACATTTTTAAATAATAAAAACTAAGAAGAAACATGTAAATAAGATTTGTTGATAAAATAAATATTAATCACTCTTTAAAATATATATAAATAAAAATGTTTTTTTTAATAATTTTTATCTCTATATGATCATTGAATATTACATCACTTATGTTTTGTATGACGGGGGAAGAAGAATTCATGGGAATGGAAGAAATTATGTAAAAATTGATTTGATAGGAAATATATAAGAAATACATATGAATTTGTAGTTGTTTGTTATAGTGAAATTAGATGATAAATAGAGAGAAAGTGATATTTTATATAATTAGATTTTTATGTAAAAATAAATTATTTAGATAAACATTTTTAGCCTTTACTAACTAACTATTTAGACAATACTGTAGGATTAGTCTTGTCCAAACATTTTTTTAGAAAATTTCACACAAATCCACTTATAAGAGAGTGAAATTAAATCTACATGCACCCTACCATAATTTTTCCACAATCCACTTGAATCATCTCCTCCAAACACATGTTTATTTTTTAATTCTTTAATAATTCCTTTCTTTCTTCTTTATTTTCTACTAAATCACCTCTCCAAACACACTATTAATGACTAACATGTCGTTGAACAATATCAAATTTTAATCATTAACAAACATCAAATTAGTAATAGGAAAAAATTTTGTACTTTAACAAATAAAAAGACTAAATATCACTATTTTAAAATAGATAGCGATAAAAATAGAGGAAAAAAATATAATTTAATCTTATAATTAATAAACATTTATTTATGCTTTTCTTAGACATTACTTCACTATCTTTTTCCTAGTTTTTCTTGGAATTGAGAAATTGATTTGGTGAAGTGTTGAAATTGGGACATTGATTAATTTTGGGTAATATAAGTTCCATTAGTCTAAGTTCACAAAAAATGTCAAAAACATAAAAGTTCACAACAAAAACACATACACGGTTCAAAGGTTGACCTCAAATTTACTATCTTATGATAACCAAATTGAGTTGAACTTTCCAAGTAATTATCAACTTTAGACAGCCACAATTAAAGGATGAAACTACAATCGGGTAACTTTGTTTATGGAAAGAGCATGTAGATATGATTTATGGAATGAGAATAGATATGGAAAAATATTAAGAGCAACAGCAGCTCAAGCTAGCATACCAATGATATAACATAACATATGCTATAGTAAGCATATGTAACACATGATTTATTTTGTTAGACAAAAGTGGTAGAATAATGGAAAGTTAACCTTAATATTAGTATTAAACACACATTCATCTTGGAGTTACTATGACATAGATTTATCAAGAGATTATTGTACAAATCCAAATCACAAACAATTTTTCTCGATCACAAATAATCAATTAACCTCTAAAAGATAGAGAAACTCTCTCAAAAAAGTTATCTATCAATTCAGATTATAATAGTTTCACATAAAATCAAACTTACATTTATTAGAAGGATGATATTTAACTCTAAATTCTTAACCACTTGTATCAATTTACATAGATACAAAATACATAATTTTGGATAAAACACCATTTAGATATCTAAAAATTCATGTTAGTGACATTTTTTTTCCTTAAAACCATGGATATTCAAATAAAGTTCTTAAAAATGTAAAATATTACTCATTTTAGTCTAAACTTAAAAAAAAATGTGTGACTTAAATGTAATATTAACACATTTAAAAATTAAAATAACAATAAATTAATAATTAAATTTGAAAACTTATATGAAACAATTAAAACTCTAAAATACTTATTTAAAATTCTTTTACTTTCAGATATTAAAATATATACTTTGATGTACTTAAATAATATTTTAGTTGTAGGATTGGCCCTTCCTATTGTGGACATAGATAAGAAAGGAATCAAACGTGGTGGGCAAGTGAACGAAGGAGATCTTGAAGGAGATACCAATTGCACTTACCCCATCATCAACTTGACCCCCAAAGAAAAATAAGGTAAAGAAAATGATATAACATATACCTGAATCAAATGCCAAAGTCAATTTGTGAACTTTCCTTCCTTGTCCACTTGTCCTTGCGATTCATACCATTTTGGAACTTTGATTTGACAAATCTATTGTATGGTAAGTACATGTACAATAATTGTAGAGTACAATTACAGTTTGGTCAATGACAAACATATATACCCATCTTGGTCTCCGACTATATAATACAATAATTAATAGTTAAAAATCCCCAACTTTTCTATACTTATTAATGTTATCTCATGTCATAACTCATAACAACCACATAACATACTCATGATTATAAAAATTAATTGTGAAAACTATGCACAAGAAATGATGTATATATATAGAAGTTGGTGGGACTAACATTATTTTATTTTATTTTATCAACATTATTATCTTATTTTATACACCTTTTGATTTTTTTTTTAATTGTCAGTTTTTTTAATAAATTTTTGTTTATATTTACTTATTATTTTTAAAGTCCTAGACAGTATTAATTATCTTTGAGTCATTGAATCGTTGTCCGAATCGTCATCTAAAATATTAAAATATTAATATTTTTAATAAATTTATTATAAAATAATTATTTAATTTAATATTTTATAATTTAAATTATTATTTTTATTATTTGGAATGAATTTCGACACACGTGTTCAATTATATTCTTATATTTTACTTAATTTCTTATGAATATTTCTTTTACATATTGACAATTGATATGTACTTATTACGAAATAAAAATGAAAAATAATATAACAGGAAACATGAAAAAAAAAAGTTATTATTTTTTATTTATATATAACAATCTTAAACAATTATTAAAAAGAAACAAAATAGTGGATATAATTTTTTTTTTATAATATTTTCTTAAGTAATGTAATTGTGTTAAATATTCAAGAATTTTATCATTTATAATGACCTTATTCGATTCGAGCATTATTCTCTTCGATAAAAGATAATCATAGCCTATTAAAAAAAAGTTATTAAATGATTATATAAATTCTTATACAAGGTAGAAAAAGAAATTAAGAGAGAGAAGGATTGAGAAAAAGTGAAGAACAAACGGAAGACAAGAATGAAAGGGGAGTCTAAATCTGTCTAATGATAGTGTTGACCATTGAGTCCACTCAACCAGAGTCACACGGGAAGTGCAGATTGAAAGCATTTGTGTAGTGAGATTTTTGGTTCTCAAATCTCAATGCATCTAAGCTTTTGGTTTAAGTGGAAGATGCAATAGAAAGTACCATTCCTACTCATTAATTTCCACCGTATGTTTTGCATGATCTTTCTCCACTTGTTTCAGTGCTTCTAAC